ATCTTGCTAACTGTACCATTTTTTCAAAATCTGTGAATGCCAATCAAAATATCTTCAAAATTCATGGATAGTCTTACAGAGCCGTTTTCCTGTAACTACAACGATTAAGCTAGCTGGCCAAATTTACACCCTGTGTACTCGATGTGTCGTGCATACGAATTCATACGCGTTCCGAGTGTAAAAGTTTACAGAAGTGTTTACATTCAGTTATTTCAATCTTAAAACAAAGCCTATCACTATTGATAGGCTTTTGTTTGGAACCATTTGGAACATATAGTTTCTGTAATGTTTTTGTGTATGTATTGAAGTCATTGATGTCCAGAAATTGAGTTGCGGACACCAGTTCCACCATGATATTTAAATACCTATTTCTTTTTCAGGCTCCGCGACGCGACAATAACAATAACGAAGTTATAAACTCGCCGAATAATGCGGTTCGTGTGCAGATGCGCTGTTATTATCATAACGATCCACGTGAGGAAGAAGGAGAAGAAGAGGACAGCTTCGAAACAATGCCTCTCCCGGAAATTCTTGTCGAACGCCAGCAAAACCGGCCCGTAACTTATTACGGCAATGAAGAACTACACTTCTAAGTTTATCTTTAACTATCCTTCCATCATCTAGTCCGCATCAATTATCATCTAGTCTACATTTAGCCACCTTCAGGCCTCATCTCCGTCTGCAGGCCGACGGTCTTACAGTTGGATTAACTCGGTAAGTGAATTTTACTTATTACTTCTCTCGTAACACCGCTATATAGGATTTTTTTTAAATGACAGACCCAGGCAATAAAAACTTTATGGTTTGTTAGAGTAGTTACCGAAATAGCAATTAATATTAGTTCTTTTACCTCTGTTATAACTTCGATATCCGATAAATCGGTATAAAATCATCACCGGCACCTTTAGTTGTGGTATGCGTCTACGGCTGCATGTATCGCGTGAGCGGTTAGGTTTTCGCGATTGTTGCACATAGGAAATGAAACTATTTTTCCGGATTTAAATCGCGTATATTAGTTTTTTCAAACAAACCAACGTTTCGCGCCTTTTACAGGTCCCATGGTCAGTCAATTGTGACATAAATCCGGAAAAATAGTTTCATTTCCTATGCATAATCTTTGTTGAGGATTATATCTGTCAAGTATGTGTTTAAAAACAGAAAAGTTATTACAAATTTAAAGACTCGCTTCCCTTAAATTATTAACCGACTTCAAAAAAGGAGGAGGTTCTCAATTCGACTGTATGTTCTTTTTTTTGTTTATTTGTTTTTTTTTGTATGTATGTTACGCGATAATTCCGGTATTTGTGAACCGATTTTCATGATTCTTTTTTTGTTGGAAAGGGGGTATTTCCATAGTGGTGCCATTTCATTTTGAAGAAAATCATCCACCTCAAAGGGTGGCTGTTCACGCATGAAGATTCATTTTTATAAATAGCGCCTAACTTTAATTTAAGAGCAATTACTTTTAGCAATTATTTAGTTGTTTTTCTTATTTCATCAATTCAAGGCGTTTTACCCTCGATATACTTTGAGTACTGTCGTAGTGAGAACCTATTTTTATTATCTCCAGTATCAAGTCCTGTATAGTGGCGAACTAGGGGATATTTCAATAAAACTTAGTACAGACGTAATTCCACGTACTTTTGAGGTCAGTTTTTTTAGTACTCTGTACTGAGATTATCGATAACTGAAGTTATCAGCTTACGCACATTAAAACAATTCATCCACTAACATTAATTACGTACACAAATATTACTAAATACGTCGACTGCAATGTAATACTTGTTAAGTGCCTAATGATTCATGCGTTTGCTTAAAGTATAAATGTAAAATCCGCGTTGGCCAATCAATACCGAGAATGAGCCGGGGCCAGTGCTGCAACCATATCCATTGTGTTTATTAAGCAGGAAAATGTTGTATATATACGTTATTTTATAGTCGCCGTATATGTTTTTAATTTTAGTTACATTGTAAAGTATTCGTAAAGAGTATGTACAATAATACATGTGGCCGTTTTTGTTTAAATTAACTATATAAAGGACGCACACATTTTAAGTTTTAACCGATTTCGAAAAAAAAGGAAAGGTTCTCAATTCGACCCTACTTTTTGTTTTTTCTACATATATGTTACGCCATTACTACATTTGTGAACCGATTTCGTTGATTCTTTTTTTGTTAGAAAGAGGGCACCTCAGTATTGGTCCGATTTAAATTTGAAGATAATATTCCACCTCTAAGGGTGGCAAACTAGGGGATGAATCCGGTTTCGCGCACTTTCCGGTAACCGATTCTAATAAAACTTGGAAAATACATGTAATTTCACGAATGTTTGAGATCGGTTTCTTTTATAAAAGTTATATTTGATGTTTTCAATCAAATTTAGGCGGGAAACGAGCAAGTATTTTTTAAAATTTTCACCCACCCATTTATTTGGGTAGTCAGACTTTCCACTATATATGCTCTCTTTTACCTATTGGGGCCCCGGGGGATCCAGATGACCGGCACGACACATCTAACTCGTTCACGCCACAGGTGGCAAACCTACATATTTAGCCATATAACATGTGCGGCGCGCCCTCACGGACTTCTGTTGCTACTTGGTTTTTAAGATATCTATTTTTGTAGACTTAGAGCAAAAAAAATATTTCGAATCAAAAAATGGTTAATGGTTAATGTGCAATGGCAATCTAGAATTAAAGACTTACGTACGTACGAATTCGTACGTACGTTCTCTGCCCGGCTTTGTGACCGGCGCGTCCTAATCGTAAATTACTCCGTATAGGCTACGTCGCGGTTGAAATGCCTGGTACTAAAACTATCTCCAAAAAGAGTCAAATACAACAACAGAGTCAAGTACAAATGAGACCAAAAACAGTTCTATTAGCCTAAATAATTTTTTGAAAATTCTGCCGGCGACGAACGTGTTAATATTTTTGTTTTCTTTCTATTTCTCACTAATGTTTCGTGAAACTGTGATTTTATAAATTCCTTCTTGCGTTCATTAAGCATTAATAAATGTCATCCTTGTTGTTTAATAAGTAAATTTTCCCAAAAAGTATAAAATAACGAAACAGTCTCTGCGAAACAATGATAATGAGATGGGTAGATATTCAAGTAGCATATCACACGTCTTACATTATATTACAATGAGAACGGAGTATAAAATACAATAGGAAAATAAATAAACGTAAGTTGCAGATAACAGACGCTACAAGCGAAACTCCTAGCTAATGAGCTTTCAATTTGCTACGTTGAAACCTCCAGCGAACTAAAAACTTTTTACTGCTAATTCCATTAAACAACAAGCTTACCGATGATCTTTCAAACCTTCAAAACTTCCATCTTAAGCTTAGTTACTCTGTAGTATCAGTAGACCTCCTTGTGATAGAGTTCGTCCAGGGAAGTACCCACCTAATTCTGCCGCCAAGCAGTCACGTGAGCATTACTGCGTTCCGGTTTATCCGGATTAAACAAACAGCATTGTTGTAACATGGTTGTTACTAAACTCAGTCTCAAGTAAATAGAACGGATATACTATGTAACAGCTCTTTATGTAAAACAGTTTTAAAAGTAAACCATATACCAGAATACCATAGAAAGAGGGTCCCTGACAACCCTGTCTAAGGCACCCGCCTTAGAATTAACCTCCTACATCCCAATGTACGTACTACTACATACTTATCAACATGTTTTACATATAAAGTCAGAACTTAACAAAAAACTTGGAGAATACCGTATAATAAGAACAATTGTAGCAGTAGAGTTTCCTTACTCGTTCGTACTGGGAAGTACTGCCATCTTACCTATTTCTGCCGCCAAGCAGTAATGTCAGCAATCATTCAACTATATTTCAAAATATTTTATGTCCGCAAATATTACAGCATAGAAATATCACAGTACACGAGTCACAAAAATGAAATAATACATTACATTAAATTTAAATTAAAAATACATATTACTGATAAGAGTCATGGGTCTCAACCGCTGCCACTATCCACCTATGCGTTTGTCCGCATGCAAGCACATCCACTGGTGTAGCAGCGGAGAGTCCCGCCGGTCAGTAAAAACGTTAATGCAGCCTCTGTCACAGAATACTACACTCCAGTTTCGAAGGGTTAGGCTGCTGGTGAAATTACAGACACATGGCGTTTGTCACCTCATGTCTTAGGATGACGGGAGCAGTGGCAGTGCCCCTCAGATCTTTGCGAATTAAAGTTCTGACTGCTTAATCATACCTAATTACTGATATTGAAGTTTGAAATTAATAATCCAAATTCTAATGCGTGACACGAAGTTATAATAAATAGGTTCACAAAGAACAGTACCTCTAATACCACGCCATCTTAATTTTTTGGTCATGTTCTGTTTTTAATGTAAACTATGTAAGCCTTATTGTATTTACTAATATTATGCTCAACAAATTTGTGAAAACAAATAAAGATACAAAAAACTAAATCCGAAAAAAAAAACTAAATAAAAACAGCGATTATCAAAACGTCAAATTGGCTTAGTCTTTATTGGAGGTATTGAGTGTATATATCAAAATTAAGTATTCATATTGCGAACATGATAGAATTTGCAGGCAAATTGTTTATTATTATAGTTTTCATTGTTTAATTAGGCTTTCTGTACTTTTTCTATAAGCATCTGACAAGACACAACAGACGAATGATTTGTTTGGTGTCTTGTGTCTATTAGGCCGTCGTCTTTCGGATATCAGCCTCCATAGTTATCCCGTGGTTAAATTGGTTGAGGAAGATGACAATTGCAGGACGTAATATTATATAATTTCAACTCGAGACCGTAAACACTTTAGAACGTGACCGGTACGCACTATAAAAATTCAGAAAGCTGATTCCCTGTGGGTTCGAAGCAGATTGTTTCGTCTGTTGCAGTTTTAGGGCAGAGTGTGGTCATATGTTGGCGGATAGCTGTCTCCCCACTGATCAGCCAACTCACCAGGAAAGTAAAAGCATTACGCGTCTCGAGCAACGGCTCACTGCCCGCCACGAAAGTGAGCGCGCACCACGCGTTCTTTTCTCAAGCCAAACTTTTTTGGGACCACACCGCCTCTCCTCGCCGATCTTCTTTTGTTCTTTTTGTTGGACCCTTCTCAGAATTTGTCGTTTACTTTTATGGCTTTACAATTTTAACAATCGTTGAACTTGGTGTGGCGTCCTCGCTATTTCATAAGTGATTATAGCATGTTGTTGTACCGCACTCAGTGAAAGTGTAGTGACGTAACCGTTACATTAGACTCAGCGATTATGACGGAAATCGACCGGCTCGGGAAGCGATGTCTCACTGTATTTGGTGAGTTGTGTGTTTTTCTTTGTTCTTATTTATAATGCTGAGCGTTTGTACAATACTTTAAAACGTATTATAGGTGATATACAGTTGATATTATGAATTTCATGAATTGCGATTACCTACGGTTTCAGCATCGATTTAATCTCTGATTGATTAACATTGGTTAATTGTACAAGTGTATCTGTGAGATCTACTTTCCCTTTCTTTATTTTATATTATGAAACAAATAACGCCTGTCTTCGTGCTTCGCAGAAGAAATAGCGTTTTCAGCTTAGTTCTTTTTATAATTATTTTCGCAAGACAAATAATGTTTTAAACGACCTTGAAAGCGGAGGGACGCAGAAGTCAATATTCTCGTTAACTAACTTTGTTTCAAATTGTCTAATAGAATTTTAATTCGAGATAGAAACAATGCTTTATAATCTATGGTAGTTGTAAAGGTATTTCTTCCTAAACTAACTAAAAAAACTATTTTTTTCCGAATGCACCCGACTACAAATTTTCATGTCTAGTAATTATCAGATTTATTGTCTATAGTAAATTTGAATTCAGAATTCCCGAATGTACCATTTTGGAAAGTGACGACAAGGTCGATGATGTAGCATACCTAAATATAGCCTATTCACTCTCGTCTTGAAAGGGTCCAAGTTCGCCATATAAACGAGGAAGCGAAACGCCTCGTCTGAATCCTTGGTATATTATCCTCTAGTGATAAAAATTGAAAACCTGTGCCTTTTGTGGGTTTAGTTACGATTGTGTCAGAATATACTATTCTAAAGTTTTTTAAACAATTTAGTTTACATTGGTGAAAAAATTTTCGGTAATTGTAAAAACTCGTACGCACATTGTACAAAGATTTCGAAGGGGCTTTCTTTGTACTTATTCATTCATTATTCAGCGCAAATAAGAATCTTTACCTCAATGCATTTTAGGAGGTGAGGTGGGGGACTACCCCTCGCGTCCCGCAACCCGCGCGCTGATAATTAATATGAACAAAATAAGAACAGGGGGAGAAAATTTGACACTGATTAGACGTCGACAAGCTCCCGATGGCGACTGACGGGGCAGCCGGGGGCGCGACTCGTCATTACACGGCTGGGCAATTTTGGGAATGTGAATTTTGTAACTGTAGGGCTTCATTTGTAAGCCAAAATTTAGCAGGTTCCGTATAGTACTTAAAAAGAAATATCTCCATACAAAAATTATGTGCAAAGTTAAATATTTTATTCTTAAATAATTAGTTTTAGAGTCTACTGCGTATTCGTAAGGCAGATTCCCTTGAAAAGAATGAGCGAGAAACACCAGGGGTGGCCTTTTGTAAATAAACATTTGTGAATATTTGTCATTTACAATATTTATTTGAAATATCATTAATCGAGACAATCTCCAAGAACTAAGAACGGATCACTACCATGGATTTTCGGCATCTAACTACGCGGAAGTTCCTGTTATACTATAGTTTTAAGCCTCTTGAAAGCCAAATTTTGAAAATCAGTCGGTATATCATTAAAGAAGCGTATACATTGCCATTTAAATGGATTTGTGAAGACAACTTTCATTTATTTCTCGTACTAATGTTATGCATGTCACAAAAAAATGTTCATAAAAATATTATTCTTCTTTTCATTAAGGTACAGTGACGCTTAATATAGTTAATTTCTCTTTCAAAGACTATCTGTGCGCCCCAGGTTGTAAATTGCCCTTAAACTCAAGTTTCTGCATGGTTCTATTAATATCGACAGCATTACCCCGGAGTCGTTAAAAAATAATCTGATTAGCAATTACAAACATTCGCACGAGACGATTTGCTTTCTCCTTCCTAACGCGTACGACAAAGTAATTGAAAACACTGCCGGCATCTCTGTTCCCTGCTAACAAAGATCGGTACATTCAAAGCTGTACTGGGTGTAACAAACGTAATATTGTTGCTTAACAGTTTGTGAGATTGTAAATAGATAGTTTTGTGAGTCTATTTTCCATAAAAACCACTGAGGGCGCTGGATAAGGAGTTTCCCAAAAGCAGGCCTCAAAATTATTAAAATATTTGTTTTCTTTGATAATCCAATAATTATATATGTTCATGAAATGTTAAATATTGAGAAAACTAAATAAAGACGAAAAAATCTTAGGTAAACGATATGAGTTGGAACTTTCTTTGTAGAGTGACATTTGACACGTTTAGATACTCGTATGTCTCGGAACATTTTGTTGTTCCAATAATTTCATAATTATCGTGAGAATTTTCACTTCGAATCTTGCCTAAAAGTAACCTTTTGATAAACTGACTTCATTGTTGAGATAAAATTTCGATATCCCCGAAGCCACGTCTGGGATGGCGCCAATTAGAAATGACGCCGCTCGTTCCCGCGTATCTCTCAAAATAACAGAAACAGTGAAAGTGGACACGTATCTTGTGGAACAATGGAATGAACGCTATAATTTGTGACAGTCGAATACGTTTTTTGTAACAGTTTCGCATCTTATCTGTATATATATATTTTCTAATGAAACTTTTGTAATATGTTCATTAAAAATGTAGGTTTCAAAGTAAAAAACAAAACAGATAAAGTTATTTGTACGTACTTAATATGAAATTAATCGAATCGATTCATAAATTAAACGAAAAATCGGCGGGCGCGAGATTATTTACGATTATGGCCAATCGATCATGCGATACCGATGCACGCGACGAGCATTGAACTTCGTTTTGTAAGTTGTAATTATAAAACATTATGATAAATAAGCCTAGAAAAATAAAACACGAAAACGATTATGCATTTTAACATCCCTAACTTAAATACAGCAAGTTTTTTTTTTATTTAAGCCGATTATCGGTACGTATAGTCCGTCTGTTTTGAAGATGTAGTGAAATGATGGTCCGCAAAAGTATTGCCTTCTTGCAAGCAGCTAGTGATTGCAGTCTATAAATATTATGTCGACTATTGACTAAACGTTCGTCACGCTTGTGAAATAAATAGCCGAACTTGTTTCTGCCAACTGCTGGGCACAGGTTCATTTGAAATGTTAATTTTTGAAGATTCACACATGAATATACACTAAATTTATCAGTATATGTATAAAAATACAATTATAGGAGACATATTTTAAAGTTTTTCATTTGAATTTAACATACATAATCACATCCGCCTGTGTGTTATTAAAATGTGTATGTCTAACAATGTAATCTCAGTACAGAGTACTAAAAAAACTGACCTCAAAAGTACGTGGAATTACATACAATTACCAAGAAAGTGCACGAACCCGGATTCATCCCATAGTTCGCCTCTATACGGGACTTGACACAGGAGATAATAAAAATCGGTTCTCACTACTCAAAGTATATTGAGAGAGAAAAACGCTTTGAATTGGAGAATAGCAAAATCAACCATTAAAATAATTGCTGCTTGTAATAAAATTTAGGCGCAATTTATAAAAATGAATGTGCGAACAGCAATCCTCAGAGGTGGATGATTTTCTTCAAAATTAAATGGGACCACTATGGAGGTACCCTCTTTCCAACAAAAAAAGAATCATGAAAATCGGTCCACGAGACATGTTTCAAAGTTTTTCATTTGAATTTAATATACATAATCACATCTGCCTGTCGTTATTAAAATGTGTATAACTAAAAATTGATTTCGATATGAATAGACCAGTTGTCCATTGACTTACAATTATATGGACGTCGGGTCCGCGCTAAAAAGTGTCCGAACTTATGGGGCGTTAAAATCGTATACAGAGCGTCATTTAGTCTTCGTTTGTTCGACTGACAGCGAAGCAAGCAAAATTAGACAGTACTGCGATGACATTACAATTTAAATTCAACGTTTTAGCTTTTTCATATTCCTTTACATGTCACTACGTTTAAATAGGTTGACTTGGGACATTTTTTCATGATTTTTGTATTAGACCCGTCGTCCATTTATTTGTAAGTCAATGATTCAGACAGACATTTTTGGCAAAATGTTACCTACTTTCGCAATTTATCCATAAAACTGCCGATAACAACTACATGGCTAGTTGTAATTTTAGGAAAACTGTCAACACGGCAAATGTAATTTTACGCCATCTTAAAAAAAGACATTCTCATACTGCAAAGGGATTGTACGCTAAGACACAGTCCACATAAATACTAGTCGCTAAGACTATCTATTCGCCTATTAGTTTCATTTAGAGTGGGGAATGTTTCGGACGAGTGATTTCACATTTCGCATTATCTTATTAAAGTGATGAGGCAGAAGACATTTTAGTCGCGCGACTCACATGCCGCCGGTCGACACGTTTCGCTTGCTTTCTTTACGTTATCATTAGCGGGGAGATCCGGGACATAATGCGACACGGGTTGCAGGGATTCAAGGTTAATTCACTGTCTCTAGATTCGGTTTGGGGACTGCCTATCATCACATTTTGTAAGGTATTAAAGCCATTCCTTATTGGTAAACCTTATTAATTTAAAATATTTCTATGGCAACTTGATAAAATGATTATAAATTTAGAATACCTTATTGTTATAATATGTTATTTGTTACTATTCCAAATTTCTTTTTTTGGCGATTTGATAAAATGACTTTATTTTTAAAATATTCAGTATAATTCAATTTAGTAATATGATGTTATTGTAAACATTAATCATAATAAAAACTACTATAATTATAAAGTATACAAGTGAGAATAGAACTCTGCCTTCTGCAGTTGCTATGTTATCCGCCTAACTCTGTAACATCTAGAATTAGCAAAATATGTGGCTTGAAATAAATGTATATGAATATGAAAAACATGGACGACATAACATTAATACGAGGAATAAAAGTGTTTTCACAAAATCACAAATAAGTTTCAGGGGCAATGTATAAAATGAATGATAAATTAGTTCATTAGTAATAATTAGTCATTCATATTTCCTGGAGAATGTCACTGATTAACTAAATCCGTAATTAATTTGAGCACTCATAGTACGCTATGTGCCGCTATGAACCTAATGTACCTCCAATTAATTGAACTAA